CCCCAAAACCCCAAAACCCCAAAACCCCAAAACCCCATACTGCAACAAAAATGTTGAAACAGTATTGTGATGTCAGATGCCCAAAACACAGAATGCACGAACAGCACACTAGGCGCATGTGGGGATTGCAGACTTGACATCTTAGATACTGTAAAGACTGCATTGGCTAAACAGAAAGATTGTGTTGGTTCAACAGCAGTTGTTTGTCCCAACTCATTTGACATGTATTCTAGCATGAAACATTAACACTAAGGTGCTTACACAGCAGTATAGTTTCAGACTTTCAGACGTCCAAGTGCAGAGTGCTCAGCTTCAGACAGAGTTGAGTCTGGCTGGCTCTGAATACACATTCAGAATGTTCACTAACTGAGTATAGCCACTCTTGCACATCTAAGTCTGACTCTGAAGCATACTGGCTTGTCTTAACGAGCATGCAGGCATTCACACCTGATGCTGACGATGCTGCTGGCATTGTTTAAGTGGCTCTGGTGTCTTTGGATATTGGCTTTGAACACCTGGCTTCAAGCAACATTACATATCAGGACTCTGAGTAACAAAGACTGGCATCTTGAGCTTTGGTCCAATCGAAGAAACTGGCATCTTGTGTGTCAGAGTGGTCATTCTTGGCTATCGACAATTCCTGAGGCTTCGACTGTTTGCTCCAACCATTCCTACCATTTGAGGTGCTCTTTCCACTTCGAGCACTGGTGCGAGCGGTGTCTGGCTGACTACAAGTCCGTTTAGGGCCTTGGACAGGCTCTCCACTCTGCATGTGCTGCATCTGATCAGTGTCTCCGATGGCTTCAATGGCTCGGATGGCAGCGATGTCAGTGGTGTCTGCAACGTCTTCCAACTGTAACTTTCTGTTGGTGTCAGCACCATGTTGAGTGTCAGAGACAGCTTTGTGGGTCTTGGCTCTGGACAACTCGCTGATAAGTTTGCTGATCCGTTCTTGGTTGTACTTGCTCTGAGAAATCAAGTTTGCGTTCTGGATTTCGGTGTGGGCCATGTCTCGTTTGATTTGTTCGTTCTGCTCAACGATCTGTATAAATTTGTTGGCTTTTGAGTCATTCTGAGCCTCAGGGTCTACACAATGTCAGCAACAATTACAGTGAACAGCTGAGAAACAGCTGTAAGCATCAACATAAAACCAAGATACGACAATATGTTCTTACCGAGTATATCTTGAGAGGGTTCACTGTCATTCCAGAAACCGCTCTCAACAAGCGTCTGGTTGGCTCGCTCGTTGTAGCGTTCACGGAATGAGTGGTAGTCTCCGAACCTGCTGTCTCTGAAGTCACTTGGAGTGTTCTCATTGTGAGAGTCTACAACTAAGTTGAGAGTCTGGTCTCCAGGACTGTAAGGGATCTTCAGAAATTCAGCTACTTGCTTCATTGAAGTTGAAGTCACTGGCTGACAGTAGTAGTTGTACTCACGCTCTGTAGAAGCCATGAAGTCTTTACAAATTTTGATTTCTTTCTTGAACTCGTTGTTTTCGTGCTCGAGCCTGACCATTTCATCGAGGAACTCTTTCTGGGTGATTTGGATGCTGTCGTACTTGGCTTTCAAGTCCTATACACGGTAAGAATTCTGGATTATGCACATTTCAGACATTTCTAAAATAGCTGTCTAGCCAAAAGAGCACTTTAGAGAATGGCCATACCTGATATTCATTGAGGAGTTCTCTGTCACTGATGCATTCAGTAGAGAAATGAAGGGAAGTCATGCTGGTTTTATTTTAATTATTGTTATGAATCACTCAACTCCAGGTACCTATCTAGGGGTTTTGGGGTTTTGGGGTTTTGGGGTTTTGGGGTTTTGGGGTTTTGGGG